ACCTTATGGAAAGCCATACGGGACCCCCGGCTCCGTTCAAGATTTTTAACATAGAACAAAGAACACTTACACGGAATATCAAAATGCCGTACATGATTGAGTTTCCGTTGAAGATTTACCGTTGAAGATTTACCGTTAAAGATTTTATCTTTGAAGATTTTACTGTTGAAGATTTACCGTTAAAGATTTAACCGTTAAAGATTTTACCGTTGAAGATTTTACCGTTGAAGATTTACCGATAAAGATTTACCGCTAAAGATTTACCGCTATCAATTTACTTCTTAAGATGTGCCGTTGTAGATTTCGCCGATAAAGATTTGCCGTTAAAGATTCACCGTTAAAGATTTACCGCGGAAGATTTACCGTTGACGATTTTCCGCGTAAGATTTACCGCGGAAGTTTTACCGTGCGAGATTGGATTACCAGTCGGCGGAACTTGAACAGAGCCGCTGAACAATTACCGCGGAAAATATTCGCCGCTGAAGATTTTGTTCATGGTATGTATCACACGCATGCGCACTGATTACATTTTCGGCATAGACTTTACAAAACACATATATATATACATGAAGCATTTATGTTACAACAAACAACAACAACATCTTTGTAGCACTTCAATTTAACATTGATATATCCATAGATAACAAACGAGTTGCCCTTGTTACTTGCGGTACTTGAACTTTGCTAAATTGGTGTACAAGTCTCATTGTCAGTGGGGCACTGCATCATGACATGTGCTAAGTTTCTTGAACTAAACGAAGAAAGTAATATTAATAATGTTACCCTCATCTTCTTGTTCAATTTAATTCTTTGATTTATAAATGGTTGATAATTCATACATGTCGCCACATGCGACTATTATATCACTATTTCAATACATACAACACATAGGCCTAGCTAGTTGCTGGAAGGCCAATTTTCAAACTATATACTTACGTACTCTATAACAATATTTTGTTAGATATTTATATATTAATTTTATACCTATGACCATGTCTATTCCGTCTTTGCGTATTGCAGAGTTATCTTCTCTTGTGAGCAGGTATTGATTGTTACGTCATTTGTTTGTAAGTAACGTTATCAATTTTTGAGAAAACATCGTAATTTTCTCACACAAACCAATGACGTAACAATCAATACCTGCTCACAAGAGAAGATAACTCTGCAATACGCAAAGACGGAATAGGTTAAAGGTTAACTTTAGTATATACAAGTTTTTGTAGTGTCTCTTAATTCTTACTAAAGAATGGACATCAGAAAGGTGTGAATGGGTTTGTGTGGTTATTTTAATACATGTACAATTTAATGTTTTACATGTGTATTCTGATCTGTAACACTTTAATAATAAACATATTTGAATTTTAAATTTGATAAAGCCGGACCAACCCTGTACACCACTCCTTGGCCCACATACTGACCATCAATATGTGCGGACATGCGTCCTCGACCGGAAGCCTCGAGGTATGGGGCGTCATAAACCTTTGATATTACCTTTCATCTACGATAACTGGAAGCAAAGAGTGGTCCCATACTAGGCTGACCATAAACATTGCATAATCCCCATCCTCCACAGGGTAGAGTAGGGGACGCCTGAGGAGGAAAGGAAGGGATGGGGGTGGAGGGTCAACACTTGGCGGGGTCTTAATTTTTGTATTGGTCTTCATGATCAAGAGACCATGCTTTATTTATATTCAAAACCTAGCTGACCAATCGCGAACCGTCTTAATAAATCAGTCTTGAGGGATCGGAACTATATCCAATGCGTACATGTATCTTCCGCCTTTGTGGCTGAACTCGTCTCAGAAGTACACGGTCTTACATAAACCGCATAACTATATCAACAGCGCAAAAGAGAAACAAACAATCTTTATTACGGAAAAAGACAAAGCAGAATACAAGGAGAAAACCCGCTCTGTGACGGTAAGTCCAAAAAATAATCAACGTATGTGTGTGTATGATGACGGAATATATATATATATGTATATGGGGCAAGGAAGTTGTCAACTTTTCGGAGCAATTAGCATCTTTATCGAGACACAGAAATAACAAACACAAGACAATTACATAAAATCAATATATGATATAAACATTATAAAAGAGATTTTATAAAATTAATTAACAAATGCCGTTTGCGGCCTGAGTTGTTTAATATCAACATTGTCGATAAAGCGTGACGTGAGTGCATAGTGCCTGCCGATCTCTATATTTGTATCGCAATGATAATTCTCTCTCTCTCTCTCTCTCTCTCTCTCTCTCTCTCTCTCTCTCTCTCTGGTATTCATAATTATTGAAAATATTCATATTAAAACATCCACTTTACCAACAGTTATAGTACAATTTAATTTTCTTTTACTCCTACCACTTAATTAATTTAGCTCAATAACACCTCATCTTAAACAGCTCATATTCTGATAACTGAATAATTGTTGAACTATATTTTTTACCAAAATAGTAACACACCTTTGGTGCAAATTTGGTTTTTAACTAATACTTTCATGTACGATGTATACCGTCTTCCATACCGACATACCCGCTCAATTTTCAAAGAATTACATTGTTATTTAAATATTCAGATACGATGTCCACAGACAACCATAAACATGTATTTAAATCGTTAATCCGGCCAAATATGTTTTCATGCAAAATATGGATTCACGAACAGTCCGGTTATTCTAGTAATATGTTTAAATCAAGGAATGATTATGTGAAAAATCTATTTTCTGATACAGGTGTAAACTATATATGGAATCTACAGGAAATATGTACCAAAAGTAAAGATAAATTAGTTTTAAAACGAAGACTATGGGACCAGTTTATTCAGAAATGGCTTACGTAATGATTTAGATGTGTCATAAATAAAAAAAATATATTCAAATTTTAAAGCTAAATTAAATTAAAATTAATTCTTATATTAAAATTAAAGAGACAGAAAATTATATTGAAATTTCGTTTGACGATGGGCTCGTTTAACTCGTTATGAAAGAATATGTCCTTATGCTCTCTGAAGGTATTGGTAACGAGTATCAGTTTTTATTCATTTGTAAACTTGGATCTGTATGCCGAATTCGGCAATTATAATTCCAAATTATTAATGTACATATCATAGTCTGATAAAACGAAAGGTCTATAGTAGATATGTAGAAAAACCGAATGTATAGATAAGATTTGAATACTTCATGTACAAATATATATGTATTGCTGCTATTGTGTTCCGCCACGTGCAAAATTTGCTGATTATACGGGAGTTCTTGTTACACACTTATGTGTGTCTGAGTGGACAATCGAGAAATATTGGTTCAGAAATATGCCTCCATCAGTAAATTATCGTTTAAAGTCACATTTCCCAATAAGAAATAATTGCATTCAAAAATACATTTAACCTTTCGTTGGTTTAACAGGTATAAAACAATGACTACTCTAGGTCATCTGATCGAGGCTTTTGAAAACGAGTCCTTCTGTGACGTAGAAATCAAGTTAGAAGATGGCAGCATTCTGCGGGCACATGCCGTCATATTGAAACTGGGGAGTGTCTGGTTCCGGAGGAGACTGAGTGAAAACGTGTCGACCGAGGGGCCGGTTTTGTGTGATAACCATGCACAACAAACAATGAAGGATGTCATCAAATTTCTGTATACTTCTAGTATCACTATTTCCGTCGAAAACGTTGAAGAGTTGTATATGATAGCGAATTATTATTCAATCGACCGCCTATCAAAAATGTGTACCGACTTTTACGAGATGGTTTCTTGTGAAAAGGTAAAGATATTTGCTTTGCACCCGCACTTAGATCATTATTGTAGTTACGTGTGTTATAGTAATTTTGTTTGGTCGAAGGTTAATGTTATGGAATTCATTTCGATATAAATATCAGAGTAACATTTGGAAACGTGAATAATCAAAATTGTCCCAAATCACGGTACCTTACCGATAATGTGTCACTATCACATAACAANATGTTGAGGTTGTATGATTGACTTTGAAGTTTTGTTATTTCCTAGACATTTCGTTAGATTAAGGCTTAATTGTATTATTTCATAAACAACTAAATTATGCTTCATAAGAGTCCGCTAAGTTACCTTAGGAAAACCTTAAAGTTTTCCCCAACTTATGACTATTTCATGAATTTGTAATTATAATATATGGAATTGAATCTATTGCAGACATGTGTGTTCTCCGCCATTGTACAAGATATTAGTAAAGTATTTCTCCATATGTATATTTATGTACGCCTATATGCAATGTGCATTTGGTAATAACTTGAATTGAAGATTTCGTAGTAACAGTGCAGGGGCGGATTCAGGATTTCATAAAAAGGGGGGGGGGGGCGAACATTTTTTCTCAATAGTCAACGTTGTGCTGCCGAGCGCGTAGCACGAGGAGGCGGAGGGTAAGGGAGGGGGTCTTCCCCCTCCCGTAAGGTTTTTTTGGGGGATTTCCCCCCAAAAAATTGTGTTTTCTAGAACGTCTCAGAAGCGATTTCCCGTGTTCTGAGGATTGTTTTTATATTTAATTATGTTGCCTAGCTACATATTATGTGTATACACAAAAACTTTAGAAAAAAAAGTTATTGTGCATGAAGTTAACTTAAAGATTAAAACCAAATAAAATAAATGGTCTGCGCCTGTTTAAAGAATACCTCAGCATAAAAGAAAGACAACTACTAACCTTTCATTAAAATGGAATCGCCATTCCCTGTAGCTTTGAGGGCTTTCCATAGGGTTTTGTCAATATCAAGCATGTCGGCAGTAATTAGATTTGTGGATAGAATATCCACTCCACTTGTTTCTACAGCCGTAGCTGAACTAAACAGTTAGAAAGCCCTGATACCAGATGTAAATAATTTCGAATTTGTAAAAGTATACTTCAATTTAGTTTTACTATTGATCACTGTGAGTGTCGACGGACAATGTATTTGTTTTAAAAACAAAGGTGCGGCACCTTTTGATGTCTGCGTTGCATTTTGCCTGTGAAATATATCCACAAAACACTGTATCAGTTCTATAATGCATTGTTAGATCTACAGCTTCCATCAGATAAAAAGCGTTTACTTTATCTTGTATAGATAATACCAAAATAATTGAATGGATATGTTTAGTCGATTATACATAATATTGTCAGCCGAAAAAACCCTTTATCGTTCTTGTATAATGATATGATTAATATCGCCCGGGCGGTTAGGAAGGTTAAAAAAGTATTAATTTTCAGATCATCTATAACGAGCGGTCAATAATATAATTATGCAACTTATGCTAGTATATTTCCGCCGAGCGTTGCAAGTTGCAACTTGGGGTTTTGCGGAGGTGGTAAGATAAAAAACACACTTTAGGGTCAAGATTCAAAGTAGACGAGCGTAGCGATGCCAACAAATATTCTTTTAATAAAGAAAATATAGTAAAAATATCAGATAGCGGAAACCCACAATATTTGCTAGGATGCCGTATGGGATGTGTGGGGCGTAGCCCCAGATTTTTTTATACAAGCTCCGTGCATTATTTGATGCATTTTAAAATGTTAATATGTTCCCATTCCCGGCAGATCAGGCCATTTCGGGCCGGCCCGGAAAAGGTCAGTCCGCCGCCAAAAAGGGGGGTGGGGGCTGGGGCCGGGTGTGCCCCCCCCCCCCCCCCCCCCCCTAAATCCGCGCCTGCAGTGCCCTGGCTTTAGACCCCTTCCGTATAAACCTCTTTTGCACATCTACCTCACAGTGTATTACCATGTAAATCTTCTAAAAGTGGATGCTTTATGAATCGGACAGCCGACGGACGGACAGACGGACAGACACTGTTGTTATTATAGGGCGTCCGCCTCTTCATTACATAGCCCTAATACGCGCAGCATTAGAAAACAAAATGTGCTGTGGAGTAATGTTTTTGTTTGTGTTGATTGCAGATGACGAGGAAAAAACAAGAAAGGCAGTCGGTGAGTATCAAACATTTGCCATTTCGCCCAACTATCAAAGATATAGCGAGACAAAAAATGTTGCCACTGTTAATCGGTAATAGAAATGGAAGTCCTTTTGCTATTTCAAATCGAGTTATTAACACGTATTGAATGGAATAAAAATGAAGGATAATGTAAGAATTGGTTCCAAGAGTTCAAATGTTGTGAAAATATCTCTCCATTAAAGTGCTTTTCGTTAAAACTCCCATTTAAGTTTCAACACACTTTCTACACAGTCTTTCATGTTCATAAACACATTATTTGTAAAACAGAACGATCTGTCGCTAAAGTGTGTGTTTTTGTTTGTCATATTTTACCAGATTGCAGAAAACATAGAAATTGATATGCCGAGTGGTGAAGATGCAAAGGAAATCGCCATTATTTACCGATCGCACGGTGGGATGGCATTTGAAAGATTATTTCGGCCTGATGATTCATTAAAGGTAAGAATGCTATTTTTCTATTATTTATATATATCAAGGTATCTATTTCTCAACCCCTTGATAGATTTGAAAATCAGTACAAAATGCCCAAAATGAGTCTTCTATTGTATCTGTGTTCACGACTCATTTCTCATTTGAATATAGTACTTTTAGTATGATCTTCATAAATAACGATTTATCGGTTGTTATACTTTTGCCATTTAACAGAGTATTTACACATGGCTCTGCGCAGAGGTCGAAGCAGATATTTTGCCACCGAAATTCAGCCTCGGCTGCAGTGACCCCGCATCGTGCACGGCGGGTGGATGTAAACACACCTATCCCCTAACTGCGGAAATCGCCAACAGGAGCGGAATTGGGAGTCTACCAGAAGTCCTGTTCATTAAACAAGAGGTATAACGATATGCATGTAACATTTGCTTTCATCGATAAACGTATGGGTCAATTGTACAATTTTTTTTAAATGAAAGAAATGCAAAGCAAATTGTTGATTTAATCATTTTATTTTCTTGAAAAAAGGACGCAAACAGCCCAAAACTAGCTAGTGCTTTCCTTTTAATCAGCATACGAATGTTTTGTGAAGCATAATATCGATTGTACATAAGATTTATTTTCGTTTTTGCAGGAATTCACAGGAAATGACACGTTGACGGGGTACGACAACGTCTTGTTTGCCTAAAAAGAAAATTCAAACATAATACAAATAAGAACATGTTTCATTCCCAAGAAAGGAAATGACCTTTGACCGGGTACGACGTCGTCTTGTTTGCCTGAGAATAATTTACAAACATTTCATGTTTTACGATATTACATATACTACAAATAAAATTGATTGTGATTCTTTCCAAAGAATATCATTCCTTAATGTTATTAATTTATCTCATGTGATTACCACGTGACCTTGTGCTGAAATTCTGAATATCAAGAAGGCCGTAAAAGAAGCTAACCTTACTTTCAAAGTCACGAATATATAGTTTTAAGTTTAATATTATCAGAAAAAATAGTCCAATTTCTCTCTTTAAAAAAATATACAAGTTTTTTGCCTCTTTAATATTTCGAGGATGGTAATCTCTATTGTGTAGTTCACAAATTGAAATTGCCGCGGAACTGAAGTCTGGATCGATGTCATTATCCCATTCCACTTTATTATGCAAAAAGCCAATCATTTCGCTCGTAGTGTAGACAGGTCGACGAGACCAGTCTTGAAGCCCTAAAATAATAAACGCTTCTGTAGTTGTGTTGCTATAATGACAACCACGCTATTGTATATCTTTCTCGGTTAAATACAGCGTTTGTGTTAAATTAGGGTACACGAGTCCTGCTGTGTCTTTCCAACAAAGTAAGTCACGTTACCATTTATGTATATAGCGTTCTATAAAGCACACCTGTTTGATGAAGACGACAGAGCACAGATCATAATGGTCATCAAAATGCCACCCATAAATATGTACTTGTTGTGCTATATCAATCTCTATACAATCCATGTTTACCGACACAAAGAAAATATTTAAAAATAATATTTTAATTGCAAAAAGATAGCATACGTAACATCTCCGGGCGATGATACAACAAATCGGGTATTCCAGATACCACATCCCCAATATTCTGTTTCCGTATCCGGTGATGGTTCCATGCATTTCGTACATCGGCCAATTCACTTCTTATCAAGTTCAGATAAGAAAACTGAAACAGGCACCTATAAATAGCATTACATTTAGTGAAAACGATCTTTTTGAAAAGTCGATTAACATCTAAAAGACATCAAGACAATATCCCCGTCTCTTTGCGATATTAGCGCAAGCTTTTAACTTATGGTCAATTTTTCTATACTAAGTACCGGAGTTCTTTTGTTACAATATTTTTATTTATATCGGCGACACACTTTACGGAGAATCTATATAAAAAAGCATTCCAGTAGTGTTAAAAGGAGGATTTGTGGAGAAAAATAAGTTTGATTTTAGTGCATTATACAAAAGGCTGTAGTTTGCTGCTTGGAGGAAAATGTGATTAAAACCCGGGAAAGGAAGACTGAGCTTTAGAGTAAGGTAGAGATGGGATATTTGGAGGAAAGTTTAAGGGATAAAGATACTTGTAGTTGAGGTTGACCGGTTTAGCTAAGATGTACTTCTTATACAGTATATACGATTTTTGAATGGTTTTGTCGTAAACGTTAACATGTAGTTAATTTAAACTGCATTTGTTAGATCTATTTTCAACGGAATTAACATATTTCATTAATTATCCGTAATTTAAAGATAACGAGTGCATAGTAATTTACGTCGTGTAACAAACACACATTAGACTTGCTCAAGTTTAAAAAAAATGGACTGAGAGAAGAGATGAGCGCTAAACAGTTCTGGCGGAGAGATTTCAGAGTGTGTTATTTTCAGTATCTATGTGTACGGGACGTCGTTGTGTATACACACTGTGTACAATAATTATAAGTTATATGCAGCTTTGAAAGAAAATACAACGGGATCAAACCAGGATTCGAACCCTTGACCTCCGATCATTATACTGTACTTGTAACCAACTGGGCCCAGTTGTTCAAGAGGTGGTAAGCTTAATCACAGTTTAACAACATTTTTCAACCCTTAATAAAAAAAAAATCAATATACACGTTAAACTTTCACAATTTCGCAGCTAATTCAAGGCTTAACGACTTAACAATATGCTGAGGCAGTCTTTTAGCGTGACAAAAACCATCATAAAAGTTGTGCTGCTGTTGACCAAGGCACCCTTCAATGTAATTCCGAAATTAACAAAGAGTTGTTTTAAATCAAACGCGAACACGTCTATGTAAAGTTGGCTGACATTAATTTCCGCGATAAAAGGAATGGTTGATCTAATTTTGGATAGCGTGATCAACAATAATGACTTTTGTGATGTTATTTATACAATAACCACGGCGGACACTGACGCGCGGCGTATATCGTAGGCATAATGTTGTAATACCGAGCTATGATTAGCAAGGGGAAATCAACACAACCTTCTTGAAAATAGTCATGCTATATTCGTATCACTCGTTGAACTGTGTTCCAAATATGCATTTTTCTATTTCTGAGTTGCATGCTGCTCTGTTGTGAGTACGTTGGAACTTTATATTAACGATTAAATTGTGCCAGCTCACGTAACACAGAACGTGATAGATCAGCTAGAAATAGGGTGTGGCTTTACAGTGAACATATGGTCCTGAAATCTAGATCAGTAATGGGACCTGGAAGTGGCGAAACTCATGAGCTGAATAGTATACATAAGTATACTGTATCACCAAATGGGGCAAGACAAGCAACATGTCACTAAATACGTTTTGTGTTATACTTATTACTTCATAGAACCAAGCGAAATAAATGGTAGGAAGGGATCCCTTCACAAAATGTGGGTTTCTGGCTTGGGTTTATGGTGACACACGGAAGCTAACAGTAGACGTCAAAGATAAGTTAAAACGATATAAATATGTACTTAAAAATGGACTGATCTCGTACGACATTAAATGTTGTCGGGACATACAAAGGAAATAAAGAGAAAGGGTTATTAACTAAGATGACATAGAAGTATTAATTGCATTGAATCAAAGCTTGTTTTTTATTTTCTGATCAATATTGACATTAATGTATAGACCATATAAAGTCCAGTATTATTGGCTGGATCGATTAAATTTCGCAATGATTCTTTTCCAAAAAACATTATTTGGTAGTGATTGTTAATTACATGGAACAATGATATTATGTTAAGACTTGCAACTTGTTTAAATAACAAAATTTAACTATAAAGCAAGTACACGAAGGATCACTGCACTTGCTTGTCCGTTCAGACAGGAGTGTTGCCTAAAGGGAAAGGCAAATTTCAAGTTGTTTTTGTTCAACAGTTGTATTCCAAATTAATCAAATACTGGTGTGCAATGTGCAAAGAACGACGTTAATACATTTCCAAAGGTATGTAAACATATTCCAAATCAAACACAGCTATGTTTGGAACACTTTTATGCGATCATAACTGATGCCGTGGAACCTTGACCTTCAGCCTGGCTACATACGGAACCTTGACCTTCAGCCTGGCTAAATATGGAACCCTGACTTTCAACCTACAAAGTGTAGCTACATACGGAACCCTAACATTCAGCCTGGCTACATACGGAACATTGGCCTACAGCCTGGCCACATACGAAACCTTGACCTTCAGCCTGGCTACATAAGGGAACCTGACCTTCAGCCTGGTTACATACAGAACCCCGACCTTCGGCCTGGCTGCATACGGAACCCTGACCTTCAGCCTGGCTACATACGGAACATTGGCCTACAGCCTGGCTACATACGGAACCCTGACCTTCAGCCTGGCTGCATACGGAAGCCTGACCTTCAGCTTGGCTACATACGAAACCCTGACCTTCAGCATGGCTACATACGGAACCCTGTCCTTCAGCATCTGAATAAGAGCCCAGCGTATTGATCAAAGGACGAGGTTAATACATTTCCAAAGGTATGTAAACATATTCCAAATCAAAATCAGCTAAGTGTGGAACACTTGTATGCGATTATAACTGATGCCGTGGAACCTTGACCTTCATCCTGGCTACATACGGAACCTTGACCTTCATCCTGGCCACATACGGAACCTTGACCTTCAGCCTGGCTACATATGAAACCTTGACCTTCAGCCTGGCTACATATGGAACACTGACTTTCAACCTAGCTACATACGGAACCCTGACCTTCAGCCTGGCTACATACGGAACATTGGCCTACAGCCTGGGTACAAAGGAAACCTTGACCTTCAGCCTGGCTACATACGGGACCCTGACCTTCAGCCTGGCTACATACGGAACCATGTCATTCAGCCTGGCTGCATACAGAAGCCTGACCTTCAGACAGGCTACATACGAAACCCTGACCTTCAGCCTGGCTACATACGGAACCCTGTCCTTCAGCATATAATTGAGAGCATATTGGTCAAAGGACGAGGTTAATTCATTTCCAAAGGTATGTAAACATATTCCAAATCAAAAACAGCTATGCGTGGAAGACTTGTATATGATTATAACTGATGCCGTGGAACCTTGACCTTCAGCGTGACTACATACGGAACATTGGCCTACAGCCTGGCTACATACATTTTTCATGTCCAGGTATAAGGCCGTATACTATATAGGTTATCACGACATCATACGGTTATCAAAAAACTACTTCAATATTCGTAACATCGCTGATTAAACTCCTGTCATATTTAATTCCGTTTTATCTACGCCGTGTGATTGATATATCACGATTAGGTGGTTTCCAGCCACCGAAGCCCTAATGTTTCACGCGGTAAAATCAAAGCCACCGACCACCTCCCGGATCTCCTTGCAATCTATCGTATCTCTCTCAAGCCACACTAATAATTTAAACATTTTAAGACATATTGTTTTAATTTTCAGAAAGGAAAGATATTATGGAAACATCTCTACGTTTGATAAAAGAAAGTTTATTACCTTTTCCTGTTAAAGCTATATCCGATTCATGATTTAACCTCAACAGAATACATTTATTTCATCGTAAATTATCCGCAGGTACATAACGCATCACATACTGTGAATATTATACATAAGGTAGTCATTTGCTAATAGTCAAACTTGATTGACTCTCTAAATAAGAGGTATGTGATTGACCTATTCGATACAATGTGAAAACACTCTTTATCGATAGGCGAGACGTCCCGGGTCGAGTGACATGTGCTTATACAATGTCGTCATATGTAAAGGTTATTGCGTGGTTTTCGAGTAACAAGGGATTTATTACACCCGAGCGAAGCGAGGGTGTAATAAGTCCCGAGTGACGAGAAATCAT